CAAGTAGGCTCTGCACTGACAGCAGACAGCCCAATACGGGGCTCCAACCCATGAACCATGAGATCATGACCTGAGCCAAAGTCGACTTCTTAACCGACTGAGCCATCCAAGTGCCCCTATTTATTTATTTTTTAATGTTTATTTATTTTTGAGGAAGAGAGAGACAGAGCATCAGGGGGAGGGGAAGAGAGAGAGAGAGAGAGAGATGCTGAATCTGAAGCTGGCTCCAGGCTCTGGGCTGTCAGCACAGAGCCCGACGCCTGGCTCCAACCCACAAACTGTGAGATCATGACCTGAGCCAGTCAGCTGCTTAACCAACTGAGCCACCCAGGCTCCTGATTGATTTATTTTTTTTAACCTTTGAATTTTTTTTATACTTTTCTCTCTCTCAATCCCCATATCCAGTCAATCAATCAATCACATCACCAAGACAGCAGATGCTACCCCCTTAGCACCTTTGGAATTGAATCTTCAACCCCCCTGCCAGTCTCAGTGTAGAGCCTTCTCACTTGGGGTCACTACCATCCCTCCCAATACCCAACTCTCTGTGTAATCCTCCTCCAATCTGGAACCACACTTCTACTGCTCTGATTCCAGTCCTTTGAGAGTTCCCCAGAACTTTTAGGGTAAAGCTCGAACTTCCAAGTAAGATCAAACCATAAAGCTCTGAATGGTGTGACTACTACTGCCTGATTCTGACCTATTATCTCAAGCCTATCCATGTTTCAGTTACGACAATAATGAATGCCATAGAATTATGCATTTGGCATAACCAATGCTATTCCCTTTACTGGAATTCCTTCCACCTCCTATGTTTAACTCCTGTTTATTCTTCAAAGCAGAGTTCTGAACTTGATATATACTTGGAGGGGGTTGTTTCTGTTTCTGTAGCAGGAATATGTTTGTCCTGACATAATCTTACTCTTCTCTCTGACCACTCTTTTATTTCTTATTATTTTTAATTTACATTAAAAATGTAAAGTTAGTTAAGTTAGTTAACATATAGTGCAATAATGATTTCAAGAATAGAATTTAGTGATTCATCACTTACATATAACACCCAGTGCTCATCCCAACAAGTGTCCTCCTTAATGTCCCTTGCCCATTTAGACTCCACCCAAAACCCCTTCAGCAACCCTCAGTTTCTTCTCTGTATTTAAGAGTCTCTTATGGTTTGTCCCCCTCACTGTTTTTATATTATTTTTGCTTGCCTTCCCTTATATTCATCTGTTTCGTATCTTAAATTCCACTTGTGAGTGAAATCATATGATATTTATCTTTCTCTGACTTACTTCACGTAGCAAAATGCACTCTAGTTCCATCCACATTGTTGCAAATGGCAAGATTTCATTCTTTTTAATCACCCAGTAATATTGTGCCAGTACCACACTGTCTTGATGATTACAGCTTTGTAACACAGCTTAAAGTCTGGAATTGTGATGCCTCCAGCTTTGTGTTCTTTTTCAGGATTGCTTTGGCTATTCAGGGTCTTTTCTGGTTCCATACAAATTTTAGGATAGTTTGTTCTAGCTCTGTGAAGACTGTTGGTGTTATTTTGATAGGGATCGCTATTTTACATTTTAAACAGGAAAGAGACATTACTTTAGTACAAATAAAAGTTAAATTTTAAAAAGAAAAGACTCTGTAGTAAATAAAAAAAAAACCCTACATTATTATCAATTGCGCATGTCATTCATGAGTACGGGCATTTGCTTGAGTGTGTGGGATTTATATTGTGCTCAGTGGGATCTCCTAGAAAGCTTACCAACAGGCTAGATTTTAGTGAGATGAACTAGGAGTAGTATTTGTTAAGAAGGGAATGGGTGAAATTATTACATCAGATCAGAGGCAGAGCACAGTAATTTGAAAAAGCAGTTATTTATGATTAGTTTCTTTTTTTTTTAATTTTTTTAAATGTTTATTTATTTTTGAGACAGAAAGAGACAGAGCATGAATGGGGGAGGGGCAGAGAGAGAGGAAGACACAGAATCCAAAGCAGGCTCCAGGCTCTGAGCTGTCAGCACAGAGCCCGACGCGGGGCTCAAACTCACGGACCGTGAGATCATGACCTGAGCCGAAGTCGGACGCTTAACCGACTGAGCCACCCAGGCGCCCCTATGATTAATTTCTTAAGAGTAAAAATTCTGATGTCCAACAGTAAGGGGTGAATGTTATAGATTATGGTATGTCCATAGGATAAAACACTTGGCTATCGTATAAAAATTTGCATTTTAGTAAAACATCTAATGACAAAGTCACATAGGTCGTTAAACTTAAAAGGCAGGACATAGGGCCTCTTGGCTGGCTCAATTTGTAGAGCATGAGACTCTTGATCTCAGAGTCGTGAGTTTGAGCCTATCCCATATGGAGCCTTCTTTAAAAGGCAGAAGACAGATGCTTAATATAAAAAATACTATATTTAAAAAAACTATGTGTAGAAAAAAAAACTGGAAAGAATCAATGGTAATTATTTTATATATGTTTCCTCCTCCTCCTCTTCCACCTAACCCCCAGTTTTCTACAATGTACTATTTTCCTAAAGTGATTCTCTAACAGAACTAAGTTTATGGAGATATCATCACCCTGTGCTGCTTTACCTCTAGGTTCCTTGACATTTTGAAGTCTTCTTGAGAATGTCATAGTCCTATCTAAGGCAGTCCCTATCATTAAGTGTATTTTGGCACTGGGCACCAGGAAGAGGGGATAGAAAGTATTAACTGCAAAATAGCTGTGCTTCTTGTGACTGAAAAAACATATAGTGAGACAAATGAGTTGAAATAAAAACCATGTAAAACTTTATTGCTTGTATATGTAGAGGTTGAATCTGCATCAAGTCTGCATTTTTTATCAGACTTCTAGACTGTGAACACTTAGAGGATGTACAGAGGCTGTGTCTTGTATTAGTACATTAAATCAAACAAGTATGTATGGAATGCCTACTACATTCCAGGTATTGTGCTGGGATGTTCTGGTGAATAATCGATACGTTGCTTACCTCATGTAGCATGTAGAATAGAAGGGGGAAGAGGGATGTCTAGCTGGCTCAGTCAGTAGAGCATGTGCCTCTTTTTTTTTTTTAACGTTTATTTTTAGCTTTGAGAGACAGAGAGCACAGGGGCGGGGGGGGGGCAGAGGGAGAAAAGGACACAGAATCTGAAGCAGGCTCCAGGTTCTGAGCTGTCAGCACAGAACTTGACGTGAGGCTTGAACTCATGAACCATGAGATCATGACCTGAGCGGAAGTCAGACGCTTACCTGACTGAGCCACCTGGGCACCCCAAGCATGTGACTCTTGATCTTGGAGTTGTGAGTTTGAGCCCCACGTTGGCTATAGAGATTACTTAAAAATAAAATCTTAAAAGGAAAAAAGAAAGACGGGTAGGTAAATGATTAAATAAGTAATCATAAAAAGCTTGATGAGTAAAATGATTAGGAAAGTACAGAGGAGACAGATCTGGTTGGGTGAACCTCTCAGGACATAATGTTTAAGGTTAAAAAAAATCTTACTATCTTGCCATAGAGGGTACTTATGCATACTTGTTTAACTGGTAAATAAAAAAGATCCTATAAGTTGATTCTTGGGCTGATGCAGGGGTTCATTTACAATCTTTGATTAAGAGTGCAGTACGCCAAGAGGTCCGGACTGAACTGCATATCCAGGCTCGTGTGTGAACAAACCTACACACCTCAGTGAACCAGGGACCCAACAGACTACGGATAACTGAGGGCCAAACTGAACTTTCACAGTAGCTCTCAAAGTATTGGGCTTGATAGGCCAAGAATGCACTCCTAGAAGTGGACTAGAGCCAGATCTGCTGGGGAGGTGGGGTACTAGGGAGTGTGGTTTATCCAACACTTACGTTTTTTCCCCTTTAGCAGGAAGTCATTATGTGACTAAAACATTGTCATCAAACTTCCTCTGATTTACCCTGAAGTGTATGTGAAAATGATGTGCATTGCCAAAAAATGTGGAATTAGGTTCCAGCCTCCAGCTATTATCTTAATCTATGAGAATGAAATGAAGGGGAAAAGTCGCCAACGCATCATGCCAATCCGAAACTTTTCAAAGTTTTCAGGTACCTCATGTTTTATCTTGCCTATCTTAAATCTTCTCTAAGTCACTTAATAAGAATGATTTGAGTCTCATAATGAAGTGACATGGTCTTCAGAGTTACATAGCCTTAGGTTCAAATCCTGACTGTCAGGGTAGATGTGTGAACCCAGCTAAATCACTTATTCTCAGTGAGCTTCAGTTTCCTGATCTGTAAGAGGAAATTGATAATCCCACCCATTCAGAATTGGATATGGGTTAAATGAGAAGCATTATTCAGTAATATTAACTCTTTTCTCTCCCTCCAAATGTGTTTTTTATGTGCAGTGTTGATATTAGTACCAGAACTAATATCTAAAACTATAATACTACTTTTTCATTTCAGATGTTTTCTCCAGTTGCAAATATTTAAAATCTCCTCAAAGTGATTGAGAAATAAAAAATACATCCCTCCTCCCCCCCCTCCCCCACATATCCCAATATAAAGGAATAGTTCTGCAAAATAATTCATTCTGAAAAAGCCACTTCGCTTCTTGGCTGTAATAGCAATAATGCTTTCAGTAGTTTGTGGTACATCAGTAGTTTTTGGTGTATGTGTTATGTGTGGTATATAGTTTTGTTTCTTCCTCCTAGATTGCAGCAGAGCTGCTGAACAGTTAAAGAATAATCCACGACACAAGAATTACCTGGAACAAGTGTCCCTGAGGCAACTAGAGAAGTTATTCAGTTTTTTACGAGGTCATTTGTGGGGACAAAGTTTGGCAGAAACGATGGAACAAATTCAGCGGGAAACAACGATTGATCCTGAGGAAGACCTGAACAAACTAGATGACAAGGAACTTGCCAAAAGAAAGAGCATCATGGATGAACTTTTTGAGAAAAATCAGAAGAAGAAGGATGATCCAAATTTTGTTTATGACCTCGAGGTTGAGTTCCCACAGGATGAACAACTTCAGTCTTGTGGCTGGGACACAGAGTCAGCTGACGAGTTCTGATACCAGAAACTCAAAGAATTTATGGGGCTAGTAGAAGAACCATGTTTATACATTCTTTGTATAATTGTATAATACAATATTATACACTTATACAATTATACAAAGAATGTATAAACATGGCTCTAGAAAAATCTGTAAAGAGCACTAAACATACATGTTGGGTCATGTTTGGATTGACGATGTTACTTTTCAAAACTGAGACTTTTAGATTATCTACTATGTAGATGCATGAGGAATATAGGAGAAACAGAATATAGGAGTATGCCTTTAAGGAGCCTACAATCTAATTGGAAGATAAGTCAAAAACTTGTGAAAAGCTAATTAACAGAATTAGGCAGCAAACAGATTAGAGCCAAATGCTTGAGAAAGGTTAGAGGGCCAGAGCCTAGGTTACCATAGGGTAGAATAGTCAGGAAAGACTGCCCTTTAGTGGAGAGATGGAACTTTGCCTGGCCCTTGAAATGGTAGTATTTGGATAGAAGTTTATATAGAATTCCAGATGAGAGAAACTGGAAGAAAGAAAAAGAAGAGGAGGTTAATGATAAAGAGATAGGGATGAGAATATTTTATTTGAGGAGCAGAAAGCAAATTATAGTTTGCTAAGATTGGAGGGCATAAATGGTTAACAGGGGATTATTCCAGAGGCATTATGTCTTCATGTATGTTTAACTGTGGAGGAGAAGAGCAACCCTGCAGGACGCCGGCTGCCACACGTTGAGGTCTTCTGATGGACGGCTGGGGAATTCTGCCCCTCCAGGATCAGGAAATACATTCTAAAGACATTCTGAAAACCTGAAGCTCTTCCCGTAACTACAGAAGTTTGTTTGTAATATGGGAAATCTACCCATACTAAAATGAACAGTAGGCATTGCCAGTTTAGGCTTATTTATGAGTTTGGATCTACAAAGAGAAGATCTTTGTTGAACTAGGTTATATGTGTACAGTTACATCTTTCTTCTTTTAGAATATTGTTTAACTGGCAGATATTCTATGTTTCCTGCAAGGAAATTAATATTAAATAAAACTAAAAAATTCACTCTTTCTACCTGTCTATCCCTACCCTCTTTACCATTAAAAACTCCATTAAAGGGATCATTCCTTTTTTTTTTTTTTAGGTTTATTTATTTTGAGAGGGAGTGTGCATGTGGGAGGAGCAGAGAGAGAGAGAGAGAGAGAGAGAGAGAGGGAGAGAGAGAACCCAAGCAGGCTCTGCACTGTCAGTACAGAGCCTGATAGGGGGCTCCAACTCATGAACCATGAAATCATGACCTGAGCCGAAACCAAGAGTCAGACACTTAACCAACTGAGCCACCCAGACGCCCTTCAAGTAGCATTCTTAATGTTATCACCAGGGGCTTAAGATGGTCATGTGATATCTGTATAATATTTGCCAAAGGTAGCAAGAGAATTTTCAGAATCAGAGATCCTTCTATATCTACATAGTATTCCATTGTATAGATGTAGATGATCTATTTTAAAAGTTGACCTTAGGTTGTTTATCCTTTCACTATTAGAAATAATGCCACAGCAAATAACCTTGTACATTCTCTACTTTGTGCCTTTGTAAAACTACATGTAATGCCTAGAGGGGAAATGCTAGGTATGTCTACTCTAAATTTTTTTTCTATTCTAAATTTTAGTAGATATTGCTAAGTTGTCCTTCAAAGAAGTTTGCTCATTCATTCATTCAGTATGTGTACTTAATGAACACCTATTACATGCTGAGCCTGTACTATTCTAGAGTCTATGTACACAGCAGCATGCACAACAAAGTCCTTGCCTTTACAAGGTTTACAGTCTAATGGGAGAGGAGCAATAATAAATACGTAGAATAATGTCATATATTAAGTGCCTGGAATTAAAAACAGGGTAAAAAGAGAATGATGGAGGGGTTGAGAGCCACTTTTTTTGACAATGATCAGAGAATGCCTCCCTGTAGAAGTGACATTTGAGTAAAGACCTGAAGGAGGTAAGGAAAAATTGATGTGCATTTCATGGGTAGTAGGGAAAGGTAGGTGTATAGACACCTAGGGCTGGAGTGTGCTTGGCTTATTTGAAGAGGAGCAAGGACACAATTGTGGCTAATTTGGATTGAACAAGAGAAAAATGGTAAGAGATGAGAGGTTGGAGTGTATTTTACCAATGCACAGTACTTACATGAAGGTCATCCCAACTTAAATTGTCAGCAGTACGTGAGAATATCTGCTCTCAACAGATAGTGTTATCAAACTCATTGATCTTTGCCAATTTATAATTTAAAAATGGTATCTCATAGCCTTACAGGTTTTTTGTTTTTGTTTTGTAGCTCGGAGTTTTAATTTGCATTTCTTTTATTACGAGGGAGACTGAGCATCTTCATACACTGGAGGGAGATTTTTTATGAAATAACATGTCATTTGCTCATTTTTCTACTGTGATGCTGGTCTTTTTACTGATTTGTAAAAAAAGTTCTTTATTAAGGAAAATAGTCCTTGGTTTGTGATATGAATTGTAGATATTTTCACCTTTGTCATTTGTTTTTTGACTTTGTTTATGCTATTTTTTCCAGGCAGATTTTTTCTAGTCAAATCAATATTTTTCTCTGTGCTTCTGCATTTTTGTCTTATATACACGGGCATTTCTCACTCCCAGGTTTTTTTTTTTTTAATCCCATGATTTTTTTCTACTCAGGAATTTATTTTGATATAAGACACAAGATGTGAATCCCAACTTTATTTCTTCCCAGATGCCCATCCAACTGTCCCAACACTACTATATTTTGAATTACCTATCTTTCCCCCAATGATTTAAAAAATTTTTTTTAAATCTTTATTTATTTTTGAGAGAGAGAGAGAGTGTGTGAGCAGGGGAGGAACAGAGAGAGAGGGAGACACAGAATCCGAAGCAGGCTCCAGGCTCTGAGCTGTCAGCACAGAGTCTGACACGGGGCTTGAACTCACGAACCGTGAGCTCATGACCCAAGCCGAAGTTGGACGCCCAACCAACTGAGCCACCCAACCCCAGTGATTTGAAGTGCAAGTTCCCATATGTATCAAAACACTTCTCTTTTGATTATGTTACTGTCATCTGTAGCACACTTTCCCAATCCATGTTTTTTGGTGTTTATTGAGCACATCTCATATTCACCAAATTAAGAGCTATAGTAAGATGCAAAATGGGCCATAACTTTTGTCTTTGAGATTCTAACATAGTTTAGCCAAAGCAACAAAACTAGCATATATGAGCTAGAGAGACCCTATCTAAAGCAGGGGGGGGGAGATCATGTGAGCTGAGCAGTTGTGGGTTTTTTTTCTTTATGTATCTTATCCAAAGTTAATTCTGTTGAGCTCTTAAATTTTTTTCTCATTATAAAATGAATATATAATCAACACCCATTATTTGAAAATATAGACAAATACCAGAGTGTAAAAGTAAAATGGGAAAATTCTCCCCTCAACTTCACTCAATTCCCACTCCGCAGAGAATCTGGCTTCCCTAGAGGGCTCCAGAGCCCATCTTCTGTGACCTTGTTTCACCAATATTCTTTCTCTCACTCTCTACCCCTGTCTTTCCCATTTTCAGCTTCATTCTCTGCTGGTTCATTCTCGGCAGTCTGTTAACATGCACAAGACCCTGCCATATTAAAACAAGAAAACGCATCGCCTTGTCTTTATTTACCTAATACCATTTCTAACCAAATTATAGCTTATCTAGTTGTTAGATAAATTGAACCCTTCCCCCACTGCCACACCCTTTAGAGCAAATCTGGCTGTAGTCTAATTCTAGACTAGACTAGAGATGCATGCTTGGCCTATGAAACTCCATGCTTTGAGAGCTGCCCTTATAGTTCATCTTGGCCCTGGGTTATTCTAAGAATCTCTGGTTCATTCACAGGTGTAGGTTTGTTCACATGTGAGCCTGGAAATACAATTCAGTTTGGACCTCTTAATGTACCGTAGTTTGTTGTTGTTGTTGATTAATGTTTATTTGTTTTAAGAGAGAGAGAGAGAGACAGAGCATGAGCAGGGGAGGGGCAGAGAGAGAGGGAAACACAGAATCTGAAGCAGGCTCCAGGCTCTGAGCTGTCAGCACAGAGCCTGGCTTGGGGCTCGATCCCATGAGCCATGAGATCATGACCTGAGCCGAAGTCAGACGCTCAACTGATTGAGCCACCCAGGTGCCCCTAGTGTACTGTAGTCTTAACCAAAAATTGTATATAGATCCCTGGGTCAGCACAAGAATTAAGCTGAAGGGTTTTTTCTATCTACCAATTAAACAAGGAGTTATCAAGCACCCTGTATGTCAAGGTACTGTGAGTGATCACCTTAAACCTCATGTCCTGAGAGTCTTACCAGATCTGTCTCCCTTGCACTTTTGCAATTATTTTACTCGTAAGTTTTTTTGTAATTATTTCATCACCTACCGAATATTTTGACAAAAGTAGTAGATGAAAATTGAAGAAAGGCCATTGGATTTGGTAGCTAGGTCTCTTAATATTCAAGAATGAATCTTGAGGGGTGCCTGGGTGGCTCAGTAGTTACCCTTCTGACTCTTGATCTCAGCTCAGCTCTTGATCTCAGGGTCGTGAGTTCAAGCCCCACATTGGGCTCCATGCTGGCCGTGGAACCCACTTACAAAAAGGCAGGGGGCGGCGGGGGGAGCACCTGGGTGGCTCAGTCAGTTAAATGTCTGACTCTTGATTTCAGCTCAGGTCATGATCTCATGGTTGGTGAGATCAATCCTCACTGGTGCAGAGCCTGCTTGGGATTCTCTCTCTCCATCTCTCTGCCCTCCCCTGCTCGCTCTCTCTCTCTCTCTCTCTCAAAATAAATAAATAAAACTTAAAAGAATGAAACTTTAAGGGAGTGAATAGGATAGAAATTGCAGGATATCATGAAGGAAACACGAGATCATAAACCTAAATGAAAAAGCTAAAACTACAGCTTTTAAATTTTTTTTTTTCAACGTTTATTTATTTTTGGGACAGAGAGAGACAGAGCATGAACGGCGGAGGGGCAGAGAGAGAGGGAGACACAGAATCAGAAACAGGCTCCAGGCTCTGAGCCATCAGCCCAGAGCCTGATGCGGGGCTCAAACTCCCGGACCGCGAGATTGTGACCTGGCTGAAGTCGGACGCTTAACCGACTGCGCCACCCAGGCGCCCCTACAGCTTTTAGAAGAAAACAAAGGAGAGAATCTTTATGACCTTGTTGTCTCACTTTAGGCTATTATACCAAAATACCATAAACCAGGTGGCTTATAAACAACAGAAATTTATTTCTCATAGTTCTGGTGACTAGAAGTCCAAGATCAGGTGCCAGCCTGGTTTGTTTCTTGGTAAGAATCCTCCTCTGTGTTGTAAGCTATCCACTTCTTGTAGGATCTTTTCATGGTGGAGAGCAGAGCATAGCTCTCTTGGGACTCATTTTAAGAGCACTAATCCTGTTCATAAGGGCTCCACCCTTATGATTTCATCTAATTGTAATTACTTCCCAAAGGCCCTACCTTGTAACACCATCACTTTGGGGGTTGGGGCTTCAATAGGTGAATTTTGGGAGAACATAAATATTTAGTGCATGACACTAGGT